AGAAACGTTTCGTCTCTCATCCAAGAGACTTCCTCAGTCTGACTGAGGAAGTCTCTTGGATGAGAGACGAAACGTTTCTACATTTATTTATTTTTTATTTGCTTTGTTGTTGTTTTTTTAATGTCCAGAGGACCAGATTTATCTTTTTTAGATTTTTCTACCTGGATTATTGAGCATGCATCAGGATATTATTAACTGTAGTATTTTTTATTTTTAACTTAATACTTGTGATGTAGTGTTGCACATTTATAACTGTAATTCTTGCAGTGTGTCACATTAAAAACTAATGTTTGTGGTGTTTCACATTAACTAATGTTTCATGTTTTTCACAATAAAAACTAATATATGAAATGTTTTGAATTAATATCTGTAATATTTATGGTGTTTCATATATCCATATAATTTGAAGTGTTTCACATTAATAACTGTAATTCTTGCAGTGTTTCACATTTATATCTGTAAAATTTTGAAGTGTTTCACATTAATAGTTGTAATATTTCATTTCAATTCAGTTTATTTCTGTAGCTCCAAGTCCCAACAGACGTCGTCTCAGGGCACTGTACAAAAACACTCACAGATGTTAAAAAAGGCACTTAGTAAATGTTATCTATCTAAGGAAGCAGCAAATTGCGTTGAACCTTCACTTTGTCGCAGTCTCCCATGTTTTACATAAATATCTGTAATATTTGCAGTGCTTCACATTAATGACTGAAATATTGATGAGAGGAATCAACCTGAACTGTCTGAGGACGAAGGAGCCAATAAAAAAACAGCCTGATGGAGCCACACAGCTCACCCTTCTCTCAGAAAGTAAATGACCAACTATTGTGCAAATAGTTAACTCTGCAGCTACAAACCACAGAAACCTTGGAACATCCATCTATTTGCGTCCTGATAGGAGTCCATTATGCTGCGGGGAGGTTTACGCAGCCAGCGGCAGGAAGTGGACGGCTTACGGTCCCTGAGCTCCCCGTTCTTCCACTGAATCCCCTCCCAGAGACTTCCAGTCCACCCTCCATTTAGCTGCCCACAATGGGAGCTAATACAGCAGAAGCAGCACTCAGCGTTCGCCCACAGACGGCCCAATCAGCCCATATCTGCTGCTGCCGCTCATATCAGGAGGAGGAAATGAGCTGTTTCTTCTGCCGGAGACAGATACCAACGAGTCGCCTCCATGTAAATGTGTCAGAAATAAGAATCTGATTGGAAACAGAAGCACAATGTCCGCCATTGTGCTCAAAACGGACCAATCTGTTTCCTGAATGCGTCCAAATAATGTAAAATATGAAAATGTGTCCGAGGGCTGATTAACTCCTCGTGTTCAACCTTTTGACCTCCAGAATAACAAGCTGTCAACTCGTTTAGACTTCAGACGTCACGGTGAGGACTTTACTCTGCAGACGAGACATTTCACACTTTTACAAAAACTGAAGTCAAATCAAAGAGGCTTGTGTCGAACCTCAGAGACACCGGGACAACAAGAAGAAGCTAAACTATAATAATCTTATCAAGGTATGCAGAGTGTTAGGACTGATTTCACTGCAGGTCTCAATAACATCAACTGAAAATATATAAATAAATGCTGAGAAACAAACAAAAGAACGTCTTATACAAGTTCAAACTGATCATAAATATTAAAAGTGGAGGAACACTAACACATAATTATTATTAATTATTAATCACGTATAAACACCTGACCCTGTCATCTCTTTCCATTTTCCCTCAGCGCTTTCAGAATCCTTCTCTCAGTTTCAGTTCTTGTTCCTGAACCTTTTCAGCAGGTTCTGATTAAATCTGAATAAACTGAAGTGGAGGTGAACAACTGAAGAACTTTCAGAACAACAAGCTTCTCCAGCACATGAACAGAATCTAAAAGCTGAAGGTTACAAAAGAAAAAGCCAGCAGCCGGTGAAAAGTTTTTTGTAAACGTTTCCTGTACCTAGAAGATTCCCCGCCTTATCCCTGACCTGCGTAACGATGCAATAAATGGCGATGCTCTTCCTCCGCGTTTGTTTTTGATCAGTTGTGTTGATCCATGGGCGGGGCTTGGACAAGAGTTCTCATTTATCTGCCGAGGCTTCTGATTGGTCGATGCTGGGGGCGTGACACTGCGTCAATTTTCAGGCAGTTCAGAATTCAAAATGGCGGCTACTCGCAGCAACAGTAAGTAAAACTTTGTTACTTTTATTAGCAGTGTAGTATTTATTTACCATTTAGTCATCAGTACAAGATATATTGCCAACAGACTCGATAAGCTCGTCAAGAGAGCTGGCTCAGTTCTGGGAGTGGACCTGCCGTCTCTGACAGACGTGTCTGAGCCGAGGATGCTGAGGAAACTGCTCCAGATCGTGAACAACACGTCACACCCCCTGCACTGTAAGAGGCCCAGTTAAAACACTGTTTGTACAGAACAGCACGTAGAGCGCTTATATTTGCATTGTTATTGTTTGAACGTGGTCAGCAACAGCGATGATGCAAGGAGCGTAACGTAAAAGTTTCATGTTTTGGTCGAACATTCAGAAGAGCTTGAAAAGAATGACAATTTGTTATAAAGATGACATTAAAACGAGGCCGTTTTGGCAAATTTTTAACGTTTCCGCCAGAAATACGCAAACATTTTCGTTAGAATTACCATTAAATGACATTAATCACTGTTAAAGTTAAACTACGGCCAAACTAGTCTGTTAAGACTTCGGTGACCAATGTGTGTAGGACTGTACACTGCCTGTGACTGATTGTGAGACGCTACTGTCTGTATTTGCGTGATAACCGTTTGTGTGTTCTTTTTTTTAATCTACCTCACGAACATGTTTGTGGACTCAATGAGGACAAGTCCTGTCCCAGGTCCTTTGTATCAGAGGAGGGACCCCACCACCTGAGGCTCTATCAGTGGAAGGACTAATAGATCCCAGTGAGTTGAGAGTTCCTGACAGTTTGAGGAGACACTGGAACAACTGGTTTGCTCAACAGGGCCTTAATGGCACAGCTGTTAAATTTTTACTAGAAATGTTGCTCCTCCTTGAATCGTCACCATATCGTGGTGGTAGAGTTTGTGTGCTTGAATGATCCTAGGAGCTATGCTGCTGTTGGGGGCAATAATCCTGGAAGGGTCTCCCAAGGTACATTGGTCCTAGGTGACAGCCCAAAGAGTGTCCCTTGCCCAGATGTGGGTTACCAGGGATCCACCCTGGACACAGGCATGTAGAAGAGTGGTATCTACCCATGGGGTCCGATCGGGCTCAGCCCAAATGAGCAACACGAGTTTGCATTCCTGTGGGCCCATCACCTGCAGGAGGGGCCATACGAGTCGGGTGCAAGATGCCATGGGCAGTGGCCGAAGACGGGGACCTTGGCACTCTGATCCTGACTTACCAAAGCTGGCCCAAATTGGTCATGAGGTCACTTCTTAAAGGTTTTCAAGTAAAGTACATGCCCTTACTAGAAGTACACAGTATGCTGTGTACATGACCTTTGTAAAAGTACACAGTATAGTGTGTACATGACCTCAGTAAAAGTACAGTTTACAGTGTGCATGGCCTTAGTAAAATTATAAAGTATAGTGTGTACATGACCTTAGTAAAAGTACAGTTTACTGTGTACATGGCCTTAGTAAAAGTACATAGTGTAGTGTTCTCTAATGAAACATTAAAGTTGTAAGAAAACTTAAACCTGTTCAAGCCAGATTAACATTGTTCTGAAGGAGGAGACAGTTTGAATAACTTTTCTCTAGTTTACTTTTAGAAGGTTGTCATGTATGTGTATATATATATATATATATATATATACAGTATATATATACTGTATATATATACTGTATATATATATGAATCCCACAAGCACGCAGTTGCAACTGTCATGAGTTCATCACATTACTGAGCTGCAGCTCCACGTCTTTTAATTTTTTTCTTCACACGTTGGCCTGCCTGACCGGCTCTGTTACTACCTCACTCGATGGTACAGAAGCGCAGCCTCCGGACCTCAGTGTGTCTCCTGAATGGACCAGACTGAATGGGTGGCTGAGTAGTTAGAGCAGTCGTCCTCCAATGCAAGAGTTGGGGGCTCGAATCCACCAGCAGTCACATGCCGAAGTGTCCCTGGGCAAGACACTGAACCCCTTGTTGCCTCCGATGTGTGTCCCATAGGTGACTGAATGTGATAAAGCTCTGATTAGCCTCTTTAGAATTATTTGTTCAATTAGCTTTGTGTAGATCTAGTATAGAGCTGTATGAATGGGTAAATGAGGCACAGATTGTTGTAAAGAGCTTTGAGTGCCTTCATAAGATAGAAAGGATCTACAGAAGTAGAGTCCATTTATCATTTACAGAGGCAGCCAGAACATGTCTCAAGGTTCCTTTGTGTGTTTCTAACGGGGTAAGATGGGATGAGTCAGCACCGAGTCCCTCTGGTTCTGGTTAAATCAGACAATGGGTCAGGAATGAGTCAGAAGCTGATGGTTCCGATGAGCATGCATCAGGAGATGGTTGTGATGGTTTCAGGACCAAATTTACTCAGAGATAAAGGTTCAAATGAAACCTTCATAAAGGAAATAAATATTGTGACTACTAACAATGTAGAAAACAGTAAAATTAAACCATCTGAGCAATAAAGTCAAAATAAACCATGTTTTATTATGTAAAATAAAACACCAACAGATTCTGCATCATTCAGGTTTAATCCAGATTAAATCCAGGATTTATTCAGGATTAATCCAGGTTTTATTCAGGATTAATATCCAGGTTTTAGTCAGGATTAATCCAGGTTTTAGTCAGGATTATTCCAGTTTTTTTTCAGGATTTATTTAGAATTAATCCGGGTTTTATTCAGGATTAATTTTTTTCTACCTGGATTATTGAGCATGCATCAGGATAGGATTAATCCAGGTTTTATTCAGGAATTATTCATGATTAATCCAGATTTTATTCAGGATTTATTCATGATTAATCCAGGTTTTATTCAGGATTTATTCATGATTAATCAAGGTTTTATTCAGGATTTATTCATGATTAATCCAGGTTTTATTCTGGATTTATTCATGATTAATCCAGGTTTTATTCAGGATTTATTCATGATTAATCTACATTTTGTTCAGGATTTATTCAGGTCTTATTCAGGATTAATCCAGGTTTTATTC